TAAACCATCGGTTCGGTTGAAAAATGCCCAGCCCTAGCCTGAGGAATCAATTCTTCATCCTCTGAAAGTGTGGTAACTCCTTGCGTGGCCTTAGTGAAAAACCCAAAATAGTACTTATGAAGAACGAAGTTTCATCAAACTCACAATTGACGGTACAGAATTTAATGAATTTACGGATTTTCATTTTTCAATCCAGATTAATACATAACAAGTGTTGGGAAAAATGTGATAACAAAATGAAATAGTTCATGTGAACAAAACATATGAATAATAACAAAAAAATAGTGAAACAAATGGTTTTGTTGGTCAATATTAAATGTTAGTGAAAATGATGGTTTTACTTGTCAAGCAAAGTAAAATAAACGATTTAATCAATAACTTAAGAAAGAAAAATAAATAATAAAACAATACTAAATTTTATATGAAAAACCTTCAAAAAAAACTATTGAGAAAAAAATCACAAAACAAAATTTAAAAGGTATTTTATTTTGTGATAAAATTATATAAAGTATATACTTAAATATTTTTTTTTAATGTTTTATATTTGACCATAATCTTAATAAACTTATAATTTTATCATTTAATATACCCTCTTTATGAAACACACTTAAATTTAATGCCTCGCTCACCGAGTTCTCTCCTTGAAATCTATCACTCACTCACTTTGGTTTTACTCTACTTGCTGCTTGTTGCCTTTGAATGCATGAGTATTTATAAGCTAAAAAGCCCAATCACCCGAACAAGTTTCGTTACCTCATTTTTTTTTGTTTTTTTAAACAAGTTCGTTACCTCATTAAATGAGCTCTGTTTGCAATGGTTCAAAATACCATGCAAAATATTCAATAAGAGCTGCTATGGTTGCAGCTTTTTAGTTATAGGACGGTGAAAAAAACTACCACAAGTAAAGCCCATGTGTCCACATGGGATTGGAACATTCTGCCAACAAAAAGTTGGATTCTCTTTGCAAGTAATTATGCCATTAGTTGGGTTAAAGAACCACAGAAACTAATTAAAAAAAATAGTTGGATTTAGATGAATAAAAATTAATTTATATATAAATTTTACCTATTATATTTATATAAAATTTTAATTATTTTTTTTATTTTTTTTTATTTTTAATAAATAAGATAAAAAAATAAAAATATAAATAATTAAAATTTTATATAAATAAAATACGTAAAATTACTAATTTGATGGTGAAATTAATAAAACTACTCTTTTTATCAATACTAAAGTGAGGAAGAAATTTATGAATGGCATTTTGGGGTTGGTTGGAGCTAAAACATATATTATTTAAATTTTGAAATAGGGATACTTTCTATCATTAATAGTAGATAGTAAATAAGGACACAATTTTTACATTATTTAAAAATCAGGAGAATTTAGATGGAAAATTAGCATGGGATATCACAAAAATTAACTTTCTTCTACTCAAATTTAACAATTACACCATATGAAATAAGATTTTGATTGCAATTATCATCTTATAAATTTTGAAGTCAACACCTTAACATAAGATACACTTTTAACATTATTAAAAAAAATTAATTTTAAAATATGTAAAAACTAACTCATCAAAACCAAAGAAAAACTATAAGATTTTGGGAACAAGACAATTTAGTTAGATTATCTTTACTTCCAAATAATGCAAAAGTTAAGTCACCATTTCAAAATTGCACAAGTTTATATCCTCCATTTTAAATTTAGTGAAAATTTGTGTTCTTATTTTTAAGTTGTGCCTTAGCTTGTTCGTGAATCAGACATGACACGTGTCGGATTTGCTCTCTCAAGTTTCTCTGGTCATCATCAACAGCCGATGGATTAGATTAGAAGTGGTGTGTCGCTACTCATCCGGCCAAAGCTTCAAACATGTCCTTCGCTCAAGCTTCCATCGCCTCCCTTTCTCTTTCTTTTCATCGCACTCGTACCAGTACCATCTCACCTCGAACCCACATCATCTGTCGGTTACCCATCTCCATTTTTGCACGACTCGGTTCCACCTTCGTTACTGGTTCTCCTCTCCGTAAGCTCTAACTTGCCGTAGACATGTAATCTGTTATTTTTCTGGATAAAGTCTGAATTTTTCATGTGAAGTACTGTTTTTGATGGAGGATGCATGCGAAATTTCTTCTGGAAAATGGAAATCATGGGTGTGTTTTCAATTTTCTTCATGCTGACAATGTTGAGGGGAAATGGGTGTTTTGAATTTGTTCTGTTAACCAATCTATTGGGAATGAATCTTGTGATTGTGAAGTGGGAATTTATCTTAAGATTTGAGAATTGGGGATTCAATTATGAAATTGCACGCAAAAATAGACTAAGAAATTCTGCTGCCAATGGTTTGAGAATTAGGAATTGAATTATGAGTATAAACGGTATAATTGTGATTAGCTGGTCTTTTCTATCCCATGTTTCTTTTTTGGCTACATTGGGAGTTAACTGCTTGCCATTGCAGGGGGTTTGAACCCGAATCAGGGATTTTAAGCTTTTGTTGGTCTTTTCTTTCATATGTTATGTTCAGCTTTTGATTGCTAAAATTTTGTACAGAAGATAAAAAATTCTTTCAAATTGTAGCTCTGGCTTGCCCAATTGTTCTTTTCATTGTATGATTGTGTCCATGTCTTCCACTAGAAAAGGAAGACGTTGAAATCATGAATCCAATAAGGTTAGAGCTAATGCTTCTTTTGCACAGTGATATCTAGAACATCTCACAAAAGGAAACCTGTATGTAAAGCAACTTCACTTTCCATAAGATGCGAGCAAGGTACACAGAAGGGCAATGGTTTGGACGTGTGGCTGGGCCGGCTTGCAATGGTTGGCTTTGCTGTGGCTATTACTGTTGAAATAGCAACTGGTAAAGGACTTCTTGAGGTATGGAGTGCACCATGGTCATCTGCTTTCTAAATCTGAGTTAAGGCTAAATCTTTGCTTTCCATCTGCTAGTATGGTCTATGGAAGTATCAGTATCTCAGGTTGGTGAGCTAGGCTAAATCCCAAAACTAATTTGCTGTCCTGCATCAAAATATTGATTGTAGAAAAAGATAGAGAATATACTAAAAGTGAAGGTAACATTCAATTTGTTAAATTAATGGTTGAATCATATGCTCAGAAAAGTTTATTAGGTGTTCTATTCAATTTGTTCTAACTGTATGGAAACTGTATTTTTTCTTGTTCCACAACCCAGAAACTGGAAAGATTTTGCACTAACCAACCAAACTTGGAGCACCATAACCAAATTAGAAAACCCCTCTGCTTCTCATGCATGGACACCCAAACGCATGCATTCATGTGAATGGAATAACAGTATAGCTAAAATTGTATTCATTTGAAAACCATTTTTTTTTTTCCTTGTTTTGCAGAATTTTGGCCTCACAACCCCACTACCAACGGTGGCCTTGGGAGTGACAGCATTGGTTGGTGTTCTTGCAGCAATTTTTATCTTCCAATCTGCCTCTAAGAGTTGATCAAATCTGGAGTCATAAAGATCATGATTCTGAATATATTTCTAATCTTTTGTTCATTGAATGTAACTTGGTCTTGTTGATAACACTAGTAAACAACTGGAGATTGTAACCAAATCCAACTTTTATTTTATTATATATTTCAAGGCAATCCCTTTTTGCTTCATTTGTTTAGTTGTTTCTCCATGGCTAAACAATTATGGGCACGTGAAGCAAACTTGATTATCAGTAGCTTACTTTTTGAGACAGGAAACTGGAAATGCCCTGACATTGCTTAAGATATATTCTATGTTCTAATATTTTAATTGGAAACCAAGTTTCACTTACATTTATATATATAGTCTTCCATAAATAATTAGCAATTGATTTTTAAATCACTAGTTGTCATTTCAACTCGTTAGATTTGTGAAATTAATGATTAATAATATATGTAAGACTCATATTTATGTAAGTAAAATTAACTCTTTAATTAGATAGATTTTTGGTTCAGGAAATGAGAAAAATATCTTTTCGGTTGGTGACTAGGTGATATGAACAGGAGCCAGGAAAGATTCTTTTGTTACCGGTACCTAATTGCTGATTCTTATATCAAATTAAAACGGAAAAAATGGATAATTTCATTGTATGACCATCATTGTCTCATTTGAACAACTTTCAGCTTTTTGGAAATTGAAATTCTAAGCAAGCATCCAACTGAATCTGCAGTCTCAAGTCTCGACCATATTAAACAAATTAAACATATAGATTGGCAACAGATACAAACAGAATTAAGAGGAAAGCAAATAAAGTTCATTCTTTTCTTCAACCAGAACATATTCTCCTTTTGCCTTATTCTACCCTACAATGCATCACCTGGAATCAATTTAAAACAGAAGACACCTCTCCTAAAGTCTCTTTGTCCCTTCCTTTTTTTTCCCCTCCATATCTGCAAACTATCCTCCATTTTCCTCTCTGATATGGGCAAAATCATATCCAGACTTGCATCGAGGTTCCTCCATAAGCCTAGAGTGAGAATCCTCATGGTGGGACTTGATTCCTCTGGGAAGACCACCATTCTCTACAAGCTAAAGCTAGGAGAGATCATTACAACAATACCTACCATCGGTATCATCCTCTCCAAAACTCAGTCTTCTGTTTCTTTTATAATCAGTGTTATCTATTTTCTATCAGGCTTTTGCAGCTTTTGCTCCTTTGATGTTCTCCTTAATGGAATTTAGATGCAATGACCACCTTTTCTTTTGAGACAGGATTTAATGTGGAGACGGTAGAGTTCAAAAACAAAAGCTTCAGTATATGGGATGTGGGAGGACAAAGCATGGTACTTAGGCAAATCTCTCCTCTCTCTTTTTTGCCATTTTTTGACCTAAGGTTTATGTATCTTCTCTTCTTCTTTTCATTATGATACAGATACGGCCACTGTGGAGACATTATTCCCAAAACATCCAGGGTTTAATCTTTGTGGTTGACAGCAATGACAGAGAAAGAATAGCTGAAGCGCGCAACGAGCTTCATCGGATTCTGAGTGATGTTAGTGAGCTCTCTCTTTTCGACATCCAAGTTTTTGTTTTAATTTGTTCTTCATGTAGATGTAGTACCTGAGAAAAGTCATCATCAGAATATGTTCTATAACACATCAAATGCTGTGTTATTCTTTTTTCGTGGAAATTGTGAAGATGCTGATGTCCTATTCCTTTTTATCTCATTGCAGAATGAGCTCGACAATGCATCAGTACTTGTCTTCGCTAACAAGCAAGATGTTAGAAATTCTATGACTGTATCTGAGGTTGCTGATAAACTTGGCCTGTACTCTCTCGGGCAGCGACCCTGGTAAAGATTTTCTTTTTCCCTGTTCACTGGCTTCAACATTTTTTTTTTTTTTGGTACATCTCTGGCTTCTACATTTGCATTACATTATATGGTAAAATGACATGGAGATTAGAATTGAATCCAAAAAATAATAATAATTAATTAATTAAAAAAAAAAAACCACACACACACACACACTCTCTCTCTCTCTCTCTCCCTCCCTCTCTCCTGTTGGTTGTGGTCATTCTGATGTCTGAACTTTGTTCTGCAGGTACATCCAGGCTACATCTGCTATCACTGGCGAAGGCCTCTATGAAGGACTAGATTGGCTTAGTAGCAATATCTCCAACAAGGAAGCATAAAGCATGTGCCAATGAAGCCTGACCTAATGATTAAGGTGGACGATCTGGTACCTTTAGGTCTTAGGTCTAAAATTCAAGTCGCCTGGTACAAGTTATTGTCCAACTCTATGTTGGTTTGTAGTTTTATTTAATTGATATTTGCATCGAAGTAAAGTAAGAAAGAAAGAAAAAAAAAAAAGAGTCAAAAATTCAAAAAAAAAAAATCTGAAAATGGTAGGAAATTATCCTTTCACTTTACAGTGTCCAACTTAACAGATCAAACAACAAATGTCCCAGCAGGAAACAAAACGTGAAGGAATAAGGATGGCCCCTTTTAACCGCAAGACTAAATCAAATGGGGTCATCTGGCAAGTCAAGCTCCTTCTAGGATTCAGCACAATCACCAATACAGCAATAAAAGAAGATATTGGCAAACTGCAAAAGAAACATGTGCCATCTCCCATCTTCCAGTTCCTTCCATATTCTAAGCACAACCGGTAGAAAACTCTACAGCTCAAGATGGGAAGGACTCAGTCAAACAAGGTTAACGCCAGCCTTCAAATTTGGAGCAATTGAACTCTATAATCTGATAAGATCATGTACAATTGACAAGAGCCTGGGAATTTAGATATCCATGGATTGAGATCCAGAGGACACTTCTGATTTTCCCTTTCTTTTCTTGCTTCCATTTTTCTTTGCCTTTTTCTTTTCTTTCACATCTGAAACAGGCTGTGTCCTCTCTAAGTGCTGATAAATGGCAGCCAGCGGGTCAGCTTGGAATGCAGGATCTTTAATGACAGCATTCAAATGTTCTGCCTCTTTTAATCTGATGAGAAATTATGAATAAATTCATTAAGAAAAGTTTCAAGCATGAGACTGCATCAGAAGAATGCAATATTCTAACCATAAGAAAATCAATATATAAAGTACGCACATTAATTTTTGTCTAGATTTGCAATTTAGCTTGACATCAGCTTCTGGTCGTTTGGCACCTTTCCACTCAGCATCAGGAAGAAACTCTGAGAGGGACGAGAGATCATATGCTTTCAATTTCTTCTGTCGTGGCCGGAGTTTCTTCTTCTGCTTTGAAAGAAACATGTCAGCAAATTGTTGCAGCATAATGAGCAGTCATTTATTTTATTTTGTAACAGAAAAAAACATAAATGTATAGAATTATCGATTAATCCCCAAAGAATGTCAGAGAAATGATAATTAGATCTTCAAAGCTTTAATTAAATTTACGATAACCAAGCTCATTATCCCAATCCACCCTAACCAACTTCGTCCATTCATTCCAACATCTCACATATTACCTATAGAAGAAAGAAAACAGAACTGTAAAGAATTCTGCATCCAAATTCACATTGAATCATCTATCCCCTAGTTAGACGAATAATGCCTTTCTTCTTCTGAGAATTGAAATAATTAATAGTTATGCTTATGTTATGCAAAGTCTGTAATCAAACATCTTCATCTTGTAATGTTCAAAGAAAAACTAAATCAGAAACATTTTGTCTCACTCCCAGGACGGAACAATAAAAGAGTCACAATGTTTGCACACATACTATGCATAATAACATACAACAGGAACAGCCATCATAATGTAAGAAACAATTACAATGCATGAACTCGCAAGAATATACTCGTAATGAATAACAAACAGAAAGAACCATGGAAGTCCTACCGACGCCACTCTAATGGAATCAATACAACTAATCAAGCATAGTAGTTCAAAATCAACGGGGCATTGGGCACAGAAAAAAATTCCGGATTCCGGCTAGGCAAATTGCTCGGAAATTCATATACCACAGATAAATTTGATCTTAGACTGAAGCTCTAGATATAAGATAAAAAATTAAACGTTGGAATGGGAGCATAATTCTCACCTTTGTAATAGCTTTCTTGGCAGTCAATGAAGCAACAACACTATCTCTAACCTCTGCATAAAATTAAAGAAATAAATTTATATTTTAAGAACAGAAACAACATAAATTTCAATTGTCAAATTCAAACAAACAAACAAACTCAGAAATTCCTTTTAAATTTAAAAAATAAAAATAAAAACTTACTGGCATAGAACTCCACTTTCTTTTCGAATTTGCGATCAGCTTTAGATTCAGCTCTGCGGATTAAAAAAAAAAAAGAGAGAAAATTCTTATAAAATCATACAAAAAATAACAAAGCAAGAAAAAATCGAATTCGGATCGTAGAAGATTCAGAGTTACCGTGAGCTCGATTTGCCCATACTTGAACGTGCTTAGAGCTTGGAAGAGTAAACGAGAAATCGAAAATTGCAGCGAAAAAGGGGCAGAGGGTGCCGCGGAAAGGAGAGAGGCAACTGGTAGGGTTTTCGGCCTTTCGGGGTTCCTTTTTTTGTAATTTGAGTATCAGAACAGTGGGTTTATTGGGCCGAAACCATTTTTTTATTTGTGTAGGCTTTTTTTCAATCTGGGTCTGTATCAGGTGGCACGGTCTTCGGCCTATCAAGACTTGATATGGATACGATGGTGTTGTAGACTTGACTTCTAGCTAGAGCAGATATTGGACCGGTTTTGTGGTCCACTAATTTCTCCGCGGATGAGGTCTTTTTCCCGAAGTCGAGTTATATTTGTCCTTGATCTCATCTGCTTGCTCCTTGCTAGCAAACGCGGATCCCGCAGGCCCGAAAATAATTTTGATTCAAAAAAATTAGGATGTTTTAGTATTTTAAATATGAAAAAAATAATAATAAATTAAAATATTTTTTAATAAATTAATGTATGAAAAATTTATTAAAATATTTGAATAAATTAATAAAAAATTGTAACATTTAAAGTGTAAGACATTTTGATTTTGATTTTTTTCTTTTTAAAAACATTAAATATAATGGTTTTTTTATATTAATTTGAAGTGAAAAGAATTTTTTTTAATCAATTGGTCCCTCCTTTAATTTTAATCAAGCTTCGTCCTTGCTTGGTAGCAATAATGGGGCAACCCTATCCTTTACCGATGTGTAGCTAACTACAAGTGTATCAATTCTTTGTTGAGGTCTCCTGCTAGTTGCCATCTTTGATATCATATATGCCATACAAAATACCCTCCAACGAAGTATTTCAAATAATAAAAATCTTGAAATTTTAAATAAAAAATTTTAAATCTAAATTTTAAAATAAATGAAAAGAGATTAAAAAATATAATGATTATATCTA